GTTGGGGTTTTTTTTGTTTTTTTTTATTGTTATTAAATTTTATTAGTTTTAATGAACATTTACAGGGATTTTGGGTTTTCATTCCTTCATTGCTGCACCATTCTCTCTACCCTCCTCCCCAGTTTGTTCTTCTTCCCCCGCCATCCGAATGTCTGTTTTAATTGTCCAATTGCCACAGTGCTTGTCAAAGTCAGTTCTGATTAATCTCCTTTGTCGGTGTGTCCTTTGCCGTTCCCTATCACTCCTCCCTGAGAGAGACTTCACCCTGATTCATAAGGAAAAGGGGATGGCGTATTCTCTTAGCTACTTCCTGCTGAAAAGGGACACTGTGGGTTTCAGGGTGAAGATCTTCTCTCACTACTCTAAAGGGCCCCTTTGACAGTAGAAAACACATAGACTATTATGGAGATTGATTTTGGAATTTAGATGCACTGTTATTGATTGTGCTTAGCCGTACATGTTCATATCCTTGAAGATGTATCATGGGGGTACCACTGCTACTTGTGAGTGTTGATTGTGGGTGCAAGTAAAAAGGAAAAAGCCTTATGGTTTCAATCTTATCTCCATCTATCATGATGTTGCCTATTAGTCTTGTGATGCCTTTGTGTTCTTGCTCTTGTGATGTAACCCACATTGAAAGCTATTGTCTCTGGTCTTATTCAGTAAATGCTTCAAATCTTCACTTTCTGCAAGCAAGGTTATGTCATCTGCATAATACAGGTTGTGATGAATCTTCCTTTACTTCAGATGCCACTTCTTTTTATAGTCTAGCTTCTTGAATGATTTGCTTGGCATATGGATTAAATAGCTATGGAGAAAAGACACGACTCTGACACATACCACATACTCTTCCTGATCTTTTAATCCATGTTGCTTGTGATTCCTAGTGTCCCTATGCACAGTAGTTCTGAATCCTGTCCTATCCTAAGCTAATCTCACTGTCTCTGAGACCTTCATTACACCAATTACTATATCAATCCATCTCCTCCAGGGGTCCGTTGTTCTGTTTTGGTAATTGCTTCCTGGTCTATAAAGGTAAAGGTTTATAGGTTTTGCTTCCTGTAAAGGTTTTGCTTTGTTTTAAAAAGTATTTTCTAGATTGAATTTCTGTTACCTTTGCAGACCACCTGATCATGATATGATCCTTCAGGAGATTCCTAGGAACTCTGAGGTATTGAGCCCATAACTGACACCGGTGCAAGATACGGGGAGCAGCTAGGAAACCTGGGAGTTTTCCGCATTATGTACCTTCAGGAATCTTATGACGGATCATAGCACTCTGACAGTTGTGTAAGCAAGTTTCCTTAACACGCAACACCACCTGGGTTATGTGTCTGTTCCCTGCTGCTCCACATTTCCATTCCCTTGCTTACAATTTTGTTCAGCCTGCTTTTCCAGCCTCATCTGCCACCTCGAAGAATACTTTCAGGCACGTGATGCCATCTCTGGGCAGATAAAGGTACATTCTATGGGGGGTTGGAGACTTCTAAGGAGGAAGCTGAGCTTTGTGGAGGAATAAAAAAGGCATCATCGTTCAGGTATCAAAGCCCTTTGCTAAGGTACGTGACTTGGCAAAGATACTGTGCATCACCATCGAGTTAGAGCCGATTCATAAGGTCACCCTGCAATGTGGTGTCGCAGGTAGTTAGTCACAGGGAGGAGATGGCTCATCTTTCGCTCCAGGAGCAGCGGTGGATTTGAAGCATGTGCCTTCTTATCCGCCACCAGAGGTCCCTGTAAAGCTAATAGGATATATATATCCTGCATTGGGACCTTGGCAAGTATCTCTGTTGGCACAGCAGCGAGGCTGCCAACAGAAAGGCTCAAATCCACCAGCTATGCTATGTCTGTTAGCTTCTGTAAAGATTTACAGCCTGGAGAACCTTGTGGGGCACTTTTTGTTTTTTAAAATTATAATACCAGAAAATTTATTGCAGAACTAAACAGTGGAATTCTTAAGATGAACTGGATGCTGCAACAGCTGCCCTCTTGGGTTTAGGTGTTGTTCCTTCACGGAATCCATGCCTGAATCTGTGGTGTACATGATCTTAAGGTGCCTCATACGACCAGTCCCGGTGGTATTTTGTCTTTTAGCCTTGGCGCTCCAGCTGTACTTTCTCTTGCACTTGGCAGGCTAGCCACACTTGCCACAGGTGGACTTCTGGAGGTGGTAGGCCTTGGAGCCACAGTGGCGGCGCTTGTGGGTTTTATTCTGTTCTAGAGGGCTGCTCTGAGTCTACTCAGCTGCAGTGGGTTTTGTTGTGGTTGGCTCTGAGTTTGGACGCATCTGCTGTGGCTCACCCTTAGGAAGATTCACAGGACCGTGCACACAGGTTTATCAGGGGACACGTGCTGATGTGGTTATCACTGCATTGTTTGCCAAACTGGAGAGCTGGGGGCAGCGTGGGCACCAGTCACTTCAGAAACGTTAAATGTGGTGGATGCATGATAGGTGATGCTGTGCAGCCCAAGAGTTGAAATGTCAATGCCAATTCCAACAGGAATAAAGTTGTAACAGGAACATTGAGTGAAAGAAAGTGGAAAATGAGGTGACCGCCACACTTTAATACCATTATTAAAATAAAAGATTGTCTTTAGGTGCTGTGGAATCCGTTCTGATGCACAGTGACCCTATATGCACAACAAACTGAGCCGTTGCTGATTGTGCACCATCCTCAGTCTCTGCTGTGTGCAAACGTATTGTTGCCGCCCACCACATCAGTACATCTCCTTTGGGGTCTTCCTTCCCTTCCCTGATTCTCTACCTTTTAGAGCATAATGACCTTCTCAAGAGACTAGCCTTGCCTGATTACACTTGTCCAAAATATATGTGTCACCATTCTTGTCCCTAAGGAGCATTTCCAATTTGGCAATTCAGTGTTCTCTACCGACATACTGCAAAGACATCAACTCTTCTTCTGTCTTCCTTATTCATTTTGCAATTTTCACATGTATATAATGCAATTGAATATACCATAGTTTGGGTCAGGCACACCTTTGGGTTTTTAAAGTGACTTATTTACTCTTCAGCCCTTAGTTTCATAAAAAGGAAAATCACATTAATAGAGGTGCCACACACTTTTCAAAAATACACATGGTCGCACAGTAGTATAGATACATGTGCTGAGGGATGAGCTAGAGATGGGGGAGAATGAGCTGGACTGGATAGTGTCTTCCACATTCATGAAAAAAGAGTGTGATTCCTTCTACTCTGCATTTCTAGTCTAAAGGGGTTCCGGGAGAAGATCCCCAGGCGCTATTGAAGTTTCCACTGCATGGCTCCACGTATACTTTCCCAGGGAGTCTTCAGCTAAACTCCCGCACCCTTTATTATTTTTTTTTCTATAATTATATTTTATTAATTTTCATAAACATTTACAGAGATTTTGGGCTTCCACTCATTCCTTGTTGCACTATTCTCTCTACCCTCCTCCCAGTTTGTTCTTGTCCAAATGCCACAGTGCTTGTCAAAGCCAGTTCTGATTAATCTTCTTTGTCAGTGTGTCCTTTGCCATTCCCTATCACTCCTCCCTGAGAGAGACTTCACCCTGAGTCATAAGGAAAAGGGGATGGCGTATTCTCTTAGCTACTTCCTGCTGAAAAGGGACGCTGTGGGTTTCAGGGTGAAGATCTTCTCTCACTACTCTAAAGGGCCCCTTTGGCAGTAGGAAACACATAGACTATTATGGAGATTGATTTTGGAATTTAGATGCACTCTTATTGATTGTGCTTGGCTGTACATGTTCATATCCTTGAAGATGTATCATGGGGGTGTTGCAACCTAGAAGACACAAATTTGACTAACAAGTTATAAGTACATGAGTCAAAAATTATGGAAAAGTAAAAGAAAAGATTCTTTCATTGTTTCACAAACCCTCCCCCAGGTCCCCTCCACCATGTAGCCCTCGCTCTAGTCTCCTGTGATGACAGAAATACCCAGTTATATCTCTCTTTTAAACGGTTCTCTCCCTCCTCTGTTTCAGTGCAGTATACATTATTGAACCCATCTTACTCAGTCTCTCCCCAACCCCAAGGACAGTCCCATTCTACAACAGTGGCATCATGTAATATTTGTTCTTTTGTGAGTGGGATATTTCACTCAGCATAATGTTCTCCAGAGTCAACCATTTTGAATAATATTGCATGAGTTCCTTGTTTTTTAATGCAGCATAGTATTCCATTGTGCGAATATACCACAGCTTCTCTAGCCATTCGTTTGTTGATGGGCACTTAGGTTGTTTCCAACTCCTTGCTATTGTGAACAAAGCTGCAATAAACATGGGTGTGCATATATCTGCTTGGATGTCAGCTATGGTCTCTCCAGGGTATATTCCCAGTAGTGGAATTGCTGGGTCAAATGGTATCTCTATTTGCAACTTTTTGAGAAAGCGCCATACTGCTTTCCACAGGGGTTGCACCATTTTACACTCCCACCCTTTTATTCTTCAAGCCTTTCAAAGCAAGGTCTGTGTTTTCTTTCCCATCGTTTTCTCTGTTTCAGATAATTCACAAGTTTAACTGAGGGGATGATTTGTTGGTCTAAGCAGCTTTGTTAGAGAACAGAGAGGGTAGCTGTCAATCCTTCCCTCATCCCAAACTCTCCGATCCACATTCTGGTATAAAGTTCCCTCTTGGTTCGAAATTATTTGCTCCACAACTTCCCACCTCCCCGCACCCCGACACCTTATCTATTTATCCTCCCCTTTCTCTAGGGTTTTTAACTCCTGCTTCCACCAGGATACCCCTCCCAGCGTCTCAGAGGCACCGCCTCCTAGTTCCCTTGGCCACGCCCCTTCGAGGCGGTCTGCAGACATGCGCAATGCCACCCAGGTGCGGCTTCCGGAGCTTCGAGCTCCGCCTCCCTCCGAAGCCCGTGAGCTCCTCTAGGGGGCGTGGAGGTTGCCAGGCGACGGGAGGACGCTCCGCTCTCTGGGTTTCCGCCCTGCTGGCGCTAGAGATAAGGGGGCGCCGCTTTAGAAGTCGGGAGTCGGGTACAGCCCCTTCTCCACACTCCGGCCCAGTTTCTGCGATCTCCACAGCAGCTCTGAGGCCGCCCTCAGGCAGAAAGCATCAGGATGGCCGAGGTCAGGAATCAGTGTCCCTCTCTGCTGCCTCTCGCTCGCCCCGCCCGTCATAGTACCTTCTGCTGTAGACCCATTCCTGTCATACCCACTGATTCCAGCATCCCTCAGCATCCCATCCTTCCTTGCAGCAGTCTCTCTTACACTCCGCTTCCCCAGTCAGCTCTGGTTAGGTTAGCATGTCCCGTCTTCAGTTCTGTGGGCATGCCCTCTTCTCCCACTATTTATGTGTACGTGTATATACACATGTATGCTTCATATCTAGCTGTCTGTCTGTCTATCTATCTATCTATCATCTATGTATCTGTCATTCATTATCTATCATCTATCTTCTATCATTCATTATCTATCTATCTATCTTCTGTCATTCATTATCTATGTATCTATCTATCATTATCTATCTATCTATCTATCTATCTATCTATCTATCTATCTATCTATCTATCTACCTATCTATCTATCTATCTATATCTATCATCACCTACCTACCTACCTACCTACCTACCTACGTATCTATCATCTATCTAATATAGACGAATATAGATGACGCCCTACTAGGTACAATGGACTTTCTGAAATTGGCAGATCCACATGTTACATGCATCCACATCTAAATTCTGACTTCTAAATTGATACCACAGGAAAGGTTCACACAGAAATACTGGAGAGAAGAATTGATACATAGCACTTTCCCACTCATTCCCTGACCTGGCCCATTCTGTTTTCCTGTCATCTGATTACACATTGTCAGGGATTGAAGCACTTCAGCTGGCCACCACTTCCCCTTCGTTCATTGACTCCTGTGTTATCTTACAGTTTCCTTCATGTAAAGTCTTCATCTTCATCCTCTAGGGAGTTAAGGGACAATTCTGCAACCCGTCAGTGATCTGCACCTGTCCATTATATCTCCAGTAACCTCAGATCCCTGCCACTCACCTGCCATTTACTTGTCATTCACAATCTCTGTTCACTCCCTACCCTACAGATACTTAGCTTTATCCAGGGCCCTCTTTATCAATTAGGGTCTCACGCTGCCCATCCCACCCACCATCTCAGTTTCCTGGTCAGACCCAACCAGGCCCAGCTGCCTAATTTGTGGACCTTCAGTGAGATGGATCGGCACAGTGACTAACAATGAACTCGAGTGTCAGAGATGAAGACAGCACAGGGCAGGGCAAGATTCAGATTCTTTGTTCGTAGCTGTTGCTGTGAGTTGTAGTTGACTCAATGGCACACAACAGTGACCACAACAGTGCAAAATTAAGTGTGGGACTCTGAGCAAAAATGAACACCGTAGAACATTAAACCAAGGTTAGGGTCCATCTAGGCACAGTGCCTTGGTCCCACCCTCTCCCACCCTCCCATCCCTTTTGTAATTTCTCCCCTTGTCTCCTCCATACCATTCACAACCCATCATTACATCTTTGTTTCTAGTCTTCCATTTTTATATAGGCTCCTTCTTCCTGTAGTCAAGAGCTCTGGGGATGTAGCACATCGAATGTAGCTTGAATCCACCAGCCATGCCATGGGAGAAAGATATATGGTCTCCTGGTATAAATATTTATAGCCTCAGGAACCTGATGGAGGGTCTCCCTGAGTTGGAATGGACTCAGTGGCAGTAGATTGACTTACCTGCAAATTATCATCCAATCCCTTTCCCACTCTTGATCTTTTTCACTCCTTGGACTATATCATTCTCATCTATCTCTGAGACAGGGCTCCTGTAACCCTATTCCCCATTACTCTTGTGCACACATATCTCTTCTCACTTTCTCCTCCAGTTGGCTGTTTCACCCTTCCCCTCCCCCCACCCCAAGAAGACATCTTGGCTTACTCCACTCCTCATTCTCTGCACATAAGCCCTTAACACTAATTTTGTGCTCTACTCATTTCCCATTTTACCCTTCTTTTCACAGTCTCATTCCATTTCTCCTATTTTCCTTCTCATTTGTTCTCCTTTAGGGAACTCTGGTGGTTTAGTGGTAAGGAATTGCACTGCCAACTCCAAGGTATGTAGTTTAAATCCACCAGCCGCTCCATGGGAGAAAGATGTTCATTCTCCTCCCCAGTGATTTACTGCCTCTGAAAACCCACTGGAGTGTCAGCTATGGGTCAGTTCTGACTCGATGGTACACAGCAACAACAGTGTTTTCCCTTGACCAGATTCTCCTCTGTGTTCACAGTTTTTCATTTCCATTCTGGCTTTTTCTTTCATTGTAGTTCAACTCCTTCCAATTTCTTTTTCCTACTTGTTATTCCCAACACCTAGAACAGTGCCTGACACATATTACAAACACTCAATATATAGGTGTGAAAAGGAAGGCTCACACAGTTCCTCTCTGATCAGTCAATGGCAAATCATACTTTTGAAACAGATGCCATTATGGGCTGTAGTGGAGTTGATACCAACAATATGTTGGTTATGGTTTTCTCCTTACGTTGTTGTTGAGTACTGTCCAGTTGATTACCACTCATAGTGATCCTGTGAACAGTACACCTGCACCTTCCCCATGCTGCCTCATCCTCATCATCTCCGTCCTCCTCAAGCCCATTGATGCAGTCTCTGTATCCGTCCATCTCACTGAGGGTCTCACTCTTTTTCTCTGACTCTCCACCTTTCCCAGCATGATGTCTTTTTCTAAGGACTAGCCCTTCCTGACAGAATGCCAAGAATATGTGAGACAAAGTTTCACCATCCTTGCCTCTAAGGAGCACTCTGGTTTGTGCTTCTTCTGAGACATATCTGTTTTGTTCTTTTGGCAGTCCATGGTATGTTAATACTCTTCTCCAGCACCGCAGTTTGAAGATATTGATTGTTCTTTGGTCTTCCTTATTCATTGTCTAACTTTCAGATGCACAGGAAACAATTGAAAATACCATGGCTTGCAGCAAGCACCCTTTCCCTTTAAACAGAAATCCTTGCTCTTTAACACTTTAGAAAATTTCTTGACAGTAGATTTTCCCAAAGCAAAATATCTTTTGATTTCTTGAGTGCAGTTACAGTGGGTGTTGATTGTAGATCCAAGCAAAATGAAATAGTTTTACATGTAATATGTGCTTACTAACAACATGAACAAATATCTTTTGTTTACACAAGTTTCTCTAAAACTTTTTTTGGGGGGATATTTTTCCATCATTGAGATAAGTACCAAGTGTACAAGGAAAATCAGTCCTACATACAGATTACAAGGCAGGTGATCAAGGGCTGACATTAATGCCATTTATAGGCATGGAACCAAGAACATTATCATGACAGATTTCTGTGTGTGGTGGTGTTTAGTACCAACAAGAGGAAAGCCCAACATTAGGAGTAGCGTATTAATAAGATTTCTGCTGTTTTGTGGAACGGCGACATTGCAATGACTTGCTTTTCATCACAAAGAAAATCTGTTTACTTCCAAATTAGCACTAATGTTGTCATATGAAATGATATAGATATACATATGATTCCATGTCTGTTTGGGGAATATTCTTCAAAGACTGCATTTTTGTTTGCATCTCATCTGTCATGATTGAACTAATAGTACAAGCAGTTTTGAAAACTAAACATAGACTTGTCAAAGCAGAAGTTAAGCTAGATTGCGTACCCAAAATCTTTAGAGTGAAAAAGAATTCTACTCTATTATTGGAGAACGTCTCAGTTGGTATCTTTGATCAGCAATAGTGTTTTGATGCTGCCACTGTGTGTAATAGCAGAGCATAATGTTGCAAACACAAACAAGACCTTACACATCATATCAGTCCTTTGCTCAGAAATCTTGCGTGATTGTCTGTGGCCTGCAGAAAAACATGTTCCATATTCTACAGAATTCCATTCATAGCCTAACTTTTAACTTGACATTCTTTGCTGATCTCATATGCTAGATACTTCCTTGACCCTGTGTCTTTGCTTTCTGCCAGGGTGCTCTTTCTTACCACGTCCGTCTGTGAAAACTTGCCTGTTGTTTGGGCCTGCTCAGATGTCACCTCCATTTTGAAATGGGTTTTAATTTTTGGTATTGAGAGTAATGCCTCTTCCTGTGGATTTATAGAAAACTTTGAATTCATTTCTATGTTTGTTAGATGCGGTTGATTCCAGCTCAGAGCCAGCCTGTGTACACTGTTCTGTATACTTGGTGCTAGATGCTGTTGATTCCAGCTTAGAGCCAGCCTGTGTACAACGTTCTGTATACCTGGTGCTTGGGCCCGTCTCATACTCACAGTCTTGCTACGTTTGAGCTCATTGTTGTAAGCACTGCATCAATCTGTTGTGTTGAGGGTCTACTGTTTAACTGACACTCTGCTTTACCAAGCATGATGTCATTCTTCTCTAGGGACTGCTTCCTCCTGATAACATGTCCAGAGTAAAGAGAGTCTTGCCATTCTTGCTTCCAAGGAACATTCTGCTTATACTTCCAAGGCAGATTTGTTCTCTTGTCTGGCAGTCCATAGTATATTCAATATTCTTAACCAACATTGTAATTCAAAGGCATCAAACCTTCTTTGGGTTTATTTCACATGATTAGCTTTCATAAGCATGTGTAATGATTGAAAATACTGTATAGTATGTGCCAGATGTACTTTAATTCTCAAAATGCATTTTTTAATGAATGGCAAATTTCAGGTCCTGCATGTACGTTATCTGTATACATGCTCCATCAGCTATTGAAGAATAAACTTGCTATTGGAGAACTTTTTTCTTCTATTAACTTCTCCTAAGTCACCATAACAGAAGTTATATATAGCATGTATTCAATAAATATTTGCTGAATGTATTAATGTATTAAGTGTGCCTATCTTTTGTGATTATTATTGTATGTATTTAACAAGAATTAGGGAAATAAGAATTCCAGTGTGACTACATTTCCTGAGTTCTCATCTCAGTCATAAACAGACTTATTTTAATTACATATGTATGTCTGGGCTCATATTTTTGTAAAAACAGCAAGGGTCATGTGGAGACAGTCATAGTTGACTTCTACTAACTAGACAAAGGGGAATTGTCCCCATCAGCAACATCCATGAAGCAAAACCAATTCCCATGAGGTCAGACATGTCCCCCACAATCTGTGAACCCTTTTCTGCTTATCACAATACCAAGCTTACTGCTCGACTGGGTCCAAAGCCCATTGCAGTAGCTCACAGACCACACAGAACCACATTAGGGAAGTCAAAAGGCTCTAATTCAGGTTAGTAGCAGAATACAGCCACACAGCTTCTGAAATGTGTTCCCAGGCACCTCATCCCTCAGCCTCACCATGGCTTTAGGTCAGTATTACAAAGCTCTTAGTCCTGCCATTTATGACTAACCCCCAAAGTCATCCAACAAACTTGAGCAAAGGCATATTATTCTTTTTCTTTGCTGGTGGTGAGGTTCCTAAATTCTGTGGCTGAATCTACTCAATTAATGTAATGGCAAGACTAGCCAATCCCCTTGGGCCTAGGCTAACGTGCCCTATTCATGTATTCTCACCCATCCACATGACAGAGTTGATGACAGTGGTGAGGAAAGCTACTTTGATCAATAAACCCTTACCACTATAGCTTTAAAATACATTTTAAAAAATTTAGTTTCTTTCATTATTTTTTGTGTGTACCGTCAAATCAGATCTGACTGGTGCAGAAGGAGGTTGTTCCTCCTTCTCCAGCAGAGCATCTGGTGGATTTGAACCGTGCACCTCTGAGATTGCAGTTGCAACTTCTTGCCACTAGGCCACCAGAGCTCATCTAAAATACATTTTTATTCAGTTAATCAGGAGAAGGAGTTCTTGGGTGCTGCAAATGGTTAAGCCCTCAGCTCCTAACTCCGAAGTCGTTGGTGTTATGTGAATCTACCCAGCAGTGCCTCGAAAGAGAGGCCAGGTAATCTTTCCTAAAGTTCACTGTCATCAAAGACCTTCTGGAGTGCAGCTTCACTCTGAAGACCAAAGGGACCCTATCAGTTGGTGCCAATTTTGTAAACAAACAAAAATAACTTAAAAATTGTAGAAAGAAAATTGCTAAAATGCCATGAGCATTGCACAAGGGGTGTTTTTATTTACTTGTGGGGATGGTGTAGCCTACCTTTCCCCCCCAAGGAATTAAAATGATGAAATCTGTAAGGAGAGCATTCCTTGTTTCAGGTAGGCTTCACAGCCCTGCCAAGATCTCCCTTTGCCTCAACATGCCATGGCTCCCTCTGCGGTCCTGGGGGCAGTGGCATGCAGTGAAAACAAAATAAAACCAATAACAACCAACAACCAGAGTTTGGGGGTTTTAACAAAGAGCTATCATTCATTGAGCACTCACTGTGTTCCAGGGACTTGGCTAATTCCTTAACATAAGGTGTCCTATTTAATAGAATTCTCACTACCAATTCCATGAGGTATGAAGTGTTACCATCCCAATAGTCGACCCATTGCCATCTAAGCAGAACCAACTCAAAGCTGACCTTCCAGTGGGTTTTATGAGGCTGTAAATCACGTGAGAGGCACTTGCCCATTTTTCTCCCTTGGAGCCATTGCTAGATTTGAATTGCCACAGAAGCATAACTTTTGGGTTAATGGTGACTACAGACATCCATCACCAGAACTACTATCCCAATAGCATTCATTATTAATATGTGAATATGTATAGAAGCAGCATATATACTCACCCCACAGTCTTAATGTCTTCTAATCTTTCATACATGGAACAATAATAGTAATTCCATAAACATGATGGTTTAAATGTCAGATGCCCTTTCCCACCATTTCTCTCTTGTGCAGGAAAAGAATGAAAAGCTTGTTCTGGAGGAAACTGCTTTTGAAGAAATTGAAAGGGATTTTCGTGAAGTTCTCAGTGAACTTTCGGGGGACAGGAGTCTGGATAAATTCAGGACTGAATATGAGAAGCTTCATGCTGTCATGAAGAGGTCTTATGACAATGAGAAGTGTCTGATAGCCAAATGCAGAGAACTAAATGCGGAGATTGTGGTGAATTCCGCGAAGGTCGCCACTGCCCTGAAGCTCTCTCAGGATGACCAGGCCACCATTGCATCCCTGAAGAAGGTCAGTGATCTAGAAACTAACCCCACGAGAGCGGCCAGAAGTTCATCCTGTATCTTAAGGAAAACAAATTTATGAATATTAATACTATTAATAAAAAATATTAAGCATAACATTTCCAAAGAAACTAACTAACTTTGATGAACTTCAGCTTGCAGAAAATAATGTGGAACTTTTCTTGACTTTGTTTCCGGGAAATAATGGGCTAGCAAAAGAATGAAAGAGAAATGCAATGTAAGGAATCTCATGGTGTCTTGTTTGTGGTAGAATATGCAGTTAAATATTCTATGAGAATAGCTTCTTAGGATATCTTCACTTTTTCTAAAGTTTTTAAAAAGATTTGTTTGAGACATCTCAGTAATTTTTATTTCATTATTTATTTATTTATTTTCTTGTGTGCTGTCAAAACGGATCAGACTGGCACAGGAGGAAGTTGCTCCTCCAGCGGAGCATCTGGTGGATTCGAACTGTGCACCTTTGGGATTGTAGTACAGCTTCTTGTCATTAGCCCACCAGAGCTCCAAGAAGTCTCAGTAATTAAAAAAAATACTTTTATTTTATATTGGTTTGCATACAAAATTCACGTACATTGTGTTTCACACTTTCCTTCAGTCACAGTATGTTTCATACAATCATTCCCATACATTGTGTTTTATAAAATTAATCCCCACTGAACTCTGCCCACCTATAGTAATTTTTGTATTTTTCCTTTGCTTCTCCCCATATTCTCCCCATTCAGCATAATGCGAGAAGAGTAATTCAGTCGTGAAGAAATATGACTTTATTTTATATTTTATTTTTTATCCCAAATATTAATGAATTATTTTGAAAGTAAAGCTGATAAGTGTTTCTTGATAATATCAAGGTGATAAGAGGGTAGACAATGAAAACCTTATGTACAGGAGATAACTTACATTTTTAGATAATTTCCTGATGCCATACAATTGGATATCATCCAACTCAAGCAGTTAATTTCTATGACCAGTATAAATTGTGGCTTGTCTGTATTCTTAGGAACTTTTCTTTTAAGTGTAATTGTTTTCTTCTCTTTGCTGAAAAATCGAAACAACATAAGGCAGCTTCAATTTATTTGGCAATGGCTAAAAATTAAAACCAAAAGAAAACACTTTTAATTTTAAATGTAAACACTGAAAGTAGAAATCATGACTTGATAAAAATCTAATTGGTGAAGTTGATTTGGAGAAAATGTCATATAATGCTATTTTTAATCTAAATAGCCTTCATTTGTTTTGCCAGAAATAATACAAATGATTACTAGAGAAGAACATTTCCCACAAACTGGTATTTTGTTTCAAACCACTAAATTATGTACTGTGGTTACCTAAGCAACATCTCTTGCTCATGTAAATAGAGAGCATGGATATATTAAACTAAGGGAAATGCTTTCTTTTACTCCTTTCATTTCTTGTGAATCTTATTATTACTATTTTTTTACCTCAAGTTTATAGACTGGTACTATATAAGAGAGACACACTTTATTTGATAGTGTTTGATAAGAAAGTTAAGTGGCAGTATAAAATTTAACACTGTTAAACCACTTACTATGTTTGCTCTCTTATTCAAATGGCTATATTTTGCTTTTAAGTTATTTGTTCTCATAGTCCACATTGCATTTCTTAATAGTTAAGGGAGCTGAAGTCAAAGCTGCAGCAATAATTGTTTGTATTCTCTGTTGTGGCTTTTGTATTTTCCCTATAAGCATTTGATGAGAATGCCTGGCCATGGATTTCTGAAAATGAGAATCACCAAGGGTGTTGTTGTGTGCCATTAGTTCAAAGAGGACGGTGTTGCTCTGGATTATTCTAGAGCTTACATTGCCTTCTAAGAGCTTATTTGGGATCTGAGGACAAAGTATATTATTTTTATTTGGAATCTTATCAAGAGCTTAAACTTTAGTTCATTCCTTATTTGCCAAAGCTTATTTTGTCTTTAATATGTCAGACTAGGAAGCTGTCTAAAGAGCAGAAAACAGGACATGGAAGCACAGGGCTGTGAATGTCTCTCTGAAAAGGCCAGAGGGAGTCATGATAGGACCGCCCCTCACTGCACCACAGCAGAAAGCAGATAAAGAGCCCATAGCCCCACCTCATGGTGCCTCTAGAGTCACTGCAGCAGCAAGCGGGTCGTTTACTCATTGCTGACCCACAGACTCACCTTTATGACACCAACAATGGGGTTAATTAGGGAAGGAAGTTGGAGAGTGGGGGAGGCAAAGAATACTAATGCAAATCCAAATTTTAGCCCAATAGTCCCAAGGCACAGTTCCTCAATTAGTCCAGGCTTTGGTTTCAGTTCAACAGTTCAATCCGAATAATCCAGCAAGATTTGCTCAGGGTTGACAAATGCAAGAAGCCTCAGGTTATACCTTGCCACAGTTTCTCCACAGCAATGCCAGTCTCTCCACCACCAACATCAGGATCTCACTCTCACCAGGGTCTTGCTCAAGTCTCCCTCAAGTCTTACCACAAGTCTTGTTCATCTCAAGTTTCTCCTCTCTCTCTCTCTCTCTCTCTCTCAGCTTAGTCCCATAGCTGTTGATGATTTACAAGATCATGCTGATTTAAAGACCATGTGTCTGCAGTTAAGGTAGCTGGAGACCAGGGGTCTAACTGTAATGGCTAAAAAACCCCCAAACCAACCCAAAACAACCAAACAACTTTTAGGCTAACACCTTAGAAGCTTATAAGCTTTCATTTTCTCTTGCAAGCCTCTCTTAGATACACTACCCTTTAGATACACTGTAGCTTTGTTGCTCTATTCACCTAAACAACAATCTGGTTCCTTGAATGTACTGTTCAACTGTTAACTGGCTTATGTGAACAATTCAATAAGTCAATATAAAGTTCATATCTATATATAGATAGGTAAATAGATATAGATATATATTATCTTTCCTTATAAATAACTGCTATATTATAACTGTGATATTATTTTCTTTACTCAGTTCATCTTGAATTAGGCTTCAGTTTGGCTTACTCACTAATATCCCATGGCCCCTCCAGGAAATTGAAAAGGCCTGGAAGATGGTGGACTTAGCCTATGATAAGGAACAGAAGGCAACAGAGACAATTCTTGCACTGAAGGAGGAAATAGTGAACTTGACCAAGCTAGTTGAGCAAGGATCCGGACTGTCACTGGACCAGGATAACAAGTAGGTTATACCTTCTTTATGCACATAGCTTTTGCAGAGGCCTTCTTCAAAAAACATCCTGGGATTTGCCAGTATTTTCTTGAACTTTATCTGTGATACAAAGCTCTCTCCTACATTTTCGTGTTCCTGGAGACTGTTGTCCTTCTATTGCTATTTTATCTTTTTCCTATTCCCTTTATCTGCATACCAATCCAACTTCTTGTTTGTGGTTTTATTAAATTTCTGGCTCTAAAAGAATAACTACTACTGCCATCAAAGTGAATAAAGACTTTAAGTTTATTTCTCTCAGACTTGTTAGACTGGAACTGATATTCTTTCTGTCTCGATTGCCATTTCTTCTCATACGCTCCTCAAGATTGGGTGTGTCTTCACCCACTCTAATACTTTACGTCCTAGACCAAGAAGACACACTTATTCTTCACTGCTGCAATTTCCTCATGCTTGAAATCTGATTTGTTTGCTTAATCCTTCCTATCCCCACTACCAACTGCCTTGGTTTGTGCCCTGTATTCTTTGCTGGATTTTGTAGTGGTTTCTTAATAAGCCTCGCTGCCCCTCTTCATTTCATTTTTCCACATTGCTTTTGAAACACAGACCTTCCTGCAAGCACCCAGCATAAATGTCTTCAATGTGGTCAGGACTCTGTACCATCAGCTGCAGTTCATAGCAGCCCTATCTGTGTTCAATTGAATGAAATGCTGAATCGTCTTGTGCCATCCTCCCAAGCTCTGCTGTGCTTAAGCCTATTGTTGAAACCTCTGTGTCAGTCTATCTCATTGAAGGTCTCCTTTATTTAGGTGATTCTCTACCTTACCAAGCACGATGTCTTTCTCCAGGGACTGGCCCCTCGGGATGACATGTCCAAAGTATGTGAGACGAAGTCTTTCCCCATCTTCACTTCTAAAATGCACTATGGCTCCATTTAGATTTGTTTGTTCTTTTTGCAGCCCCTGTTATAGTCGACATTCTTCGCCAAGAGAGCAACTCAAAGGCATCTGTTCTTGAACCTTCCTTGTTCATTGTTTGCTACTGTTTGTAGGGTTTTTGAGACTAAGGTGTGCCTGATCCAAGCCGTGGTATTTTCAGTTGCTTCTGCACAGCTGACAGTAGGCCAATTAATAAGACAGAATATAGAGGAACAGATGCCTTTGAGTTGTGCTATGGGCAAAGAGTGTTGAGTAAACCAGGGGCTGCCAGAAGAACAAATGGATCTGTGTTGCAAGAAGTGCAGCCAGAGTGCTCCTAAGATGAAAGGAGGGTGAGGATTCATCTCACATCCTTGGATATGTTGTCAGGAGGGTCCAGCCTCAGAAAAAGAACATTGTGCTCAGAAAGGTGGAGAGTCACAGAAAGAGAGGAAAACCCTCATCAAGATGGATTGGCCCAGTGGCTACACCGAGGGGCTTGAGGACAGTGGACACTGTCAGAATGGCACCGGAGACGGTGAGCTTTGGAACTGCTGTTCACAGGCTCACTATACGTCAGAGTCAGTTCAGTGGCATCTAACGAGAACAATAACAACAGTCTTTCTCCAACTTTTCTCATGCACGTAAAACAGTTGAAAATACCATGAGTTGTACCATGCACAAGTTAGCCCTCAAAGTGACATCTTAGCTTTGTGATACTTTAAAGAGGTTCCTTGCAGCAGATTCACCTGTTACGAGACATCATTTAATTTCCACTGCTGTTTCCATGGCTGTTGACTGTGGGTCCAAGTAAAAGGAAGTAATTGACAACTTTAGTCTTTTCTCTGTTTCTCATGATATTGATATTCACCCAATGGTTGGGATCTTTTAAGCCTTCATAACTTTGCACATATTGATGTGCCTTTTATTAATGCTCGACAGTAGATTACTATTCATCCTTCAAGACCCATTTCAAACACTATCATGACTTCCACCATCAGCATTTCTCCTTTAACTTTGCTATAACTCTCTGCCCACCAGAACCTCAATGACCAAGTACTTCAGTGACTCCATAAAGAGTCATTGTATTCTCTGGTTCCATAGAACTTGAGACTTACCTCTAGAACAGAACTGATCACACTGCAGTAAACGTATTTGTTCATTTTCTTTCCTATCCATTAGAGAGTGAATTCCCCGAAGGCCATGAATTCTATGTGCTGGACATGCAAAGCACTAAATGTGAATTCCACATGCAGGACATGCATAGCATTAAATGAAGTAATGAGTCATAAATGAGTACTCACTTACTTGTACACACTTAACCAAATCTAAATTCCCTCTAGGCCACTTATGATATTTAAGTACATTTATTCAACTTTGATTCAAAACACAAGTATGTTTAGGAGGGCAAGAGAGTAAAAGACTAGGAAAAAACAAAAGAAAATGTCATCTCTATAAATGACGAACACTATCTTTTAGTAAAGATGTCAAACATATTCAGAACAATTAAGCAAAACTTAAGGGCAGTGTGACAAGTCTCAGTGGAACAGTGGACTAAGCATTGCACTGTTGTTGTTGCATACCGTCTAGTCAGCATGACTCATAGCTGGCCTCCCAGCTGCTTTTCAGAGTCAGTTCATCACCCACGAGTTGACTGGCCCATCTTACTTGAGGAGCAGCTGGTGGATTCCAACAACAACCTTTGGGTTAACAACACAATTCCTTACCAGTCAGCGATTCACATTCACAACTTCCATAAAGATGTTTGGCCTCGGAAATCCTCAGAGGCAATTCTCCAGTTCTCTTCTGTTGAGTAACTGTTGTAGAGGGTCAGTATGCGTCAGGAGTGGCTGGCAGTGGGTTTGGTAGTTTGTCAAGAGCAGCGTGGAGCACCCACTTCAGATAGATGTTCTGTTGAGGATTGAACAGAATAAGGAGAATAGAAGAAACCATTGAGGATAGAAGAAACCATTCAGTCCAGCATTGTCTCTTTAGCAATGTGTTCAAGTGTAGGTGTGTATCTTCAGAACAACCTTAGGATTTGAGATTTTGTCTCTGGGAGGAAGAGTTTGGGTGAGATTTGAAAAGTCCCTTATTAAGTATTTATGTAAAAGCTGTTGGTAAATAAACTGTCACATTACTGTGTTTTGAGTTGTTTGGTGGCTGTCAGCTGCACGAGTCAACAGATTCTCCTGCTGATGTCTCACCAGCTACATTTCTTCCATTCTCAAAATGCTCTTCTTCAGAAAGCCAGGCCCAACAGTACACCATGGATTTTAAACTATGAGGCAGCTGGTTTATAATTCAGATCACGGAATATTTTTACACATCTCCCAAACATTTGCATCATGAATGATTTCCCAAACCCTGGGAACCTTTTATCTAGTGTGCATCCCTCTGGGAGAAACTAATCTCTTTGGACGAATGGAACTTGCAATGCAAATTATTTAGTTTAGATTTCTTTTTGGACTTTATAGCTGTAATCATAGCCCTCCGGTGGATATAGCTAGCAAATAGTTTCCTAAATTGACATCTCCTCAGGGTTAATTACAAGTGGTGACAATAGCAATATAGTCTTGTTGTAACAAGTTTAAATAATACTGATGTGTGGAAACATAAGGAATAAGAAATAATCTCTACTATTGCAGCCTCCCAAGCATGACATCCCTCTCCAAGGACTGGTCCCTCCTTACAATAAATGGATTGATGCAGTGACTGGAGTAATGGGGATAGGTGTGTCAGAAACAGTGAGATTGTCACAGGATAGGGCTAGGTTTAGGGCTATTTTATATAGGGTCACTATGAATCTCAGGCAGCTCGATGGCACTTAACAACAACAACACTATTGCACCCTAAATTCTACTTCTCAGAGGTAACCAGTTAACCATTTTCATGTTTCTTTTTCTGTACTAGAAACACATATAAAAGATACACACACACACAGAGCCACAACCTTTCTTAAAAATAAAGGAGTAGTATATATGTTATTATTGAATCTTCCGTTCCGTTATATCTCAAATAGTTCCTCAAATGTTTCTCTTCAGTGCCCAAACAGTGGTCATGGTTGACCAGAAGGCTTTCACACAGAATTGTGCTCACAGGATGATAGACTTTCCCTGAGAAGATGCCCACTTAGTCAGATTCCTGGTTTCTTCTTTTTCAGTATCCGAGATTTACTGAAGTTCAAAGAAGAAGTAACCAAGGAGCGGGACCAGCTCTTGACAGAAGTGGTGAAGTTACGAGAGTCCTTAGCTCAGCACAGCGAAAAACAGCAAGATGCTGAGCGGTCAAGGGAGGAGGCGGAACAAACCATCAATCAGGTCTGCTGAGCCCAGGAAGGCAAGAGGCAGGCCTGCTACCTCCCTCAGTGATGCTTTGTCCACCCCCAGGCTCCCTTTCCCTCTTGGGCTTCTCTCAAGCCTAACCTTATGCCAGCTGAAGCATCCATTGCTGTACTTATTTGTCTGGTTTGTTCCTGCCAAAGTAGTTTTCTCTTGTCAGGAGATTGCTAAGGCAGGTGCTACCTGCATATAATTCTGGCCCAAGAGGGTGTCTCTTACGAAGGCAAGGAGGCCTCGTGTCTAGAGACAGCAAAAGTAGTTCCTCTGGCCCTTCTCCCTTGAAAGGAAGCTGTCCATCTGAATGCATCTGAAGGTCTAATCTCCATGATGAAAACAGGAGATTTCCTTTTATGAGCATGCAATTCAGTAAAAAGACTTTCCCTAGACTCTGAACATCATGATAAAGCCGTAGTGCTTTGTGTAGTATCATGTATGATTCATGTGGTACACAATTTCGTACTTAGTCTCTGTTGAAAGAGCTTTAAATGGATGCTATATTTGACTTCCCTAAAACCCTGGGCTTCCATCTTCAATTGGAATTGCGCCCTGCCTTTGTGGACTTGTTGACCATAAGGATGGGCGTTTGGAGTTGAAACCCTGATAAACAACACAGAGTGCTCTGTGGCCTGGAGGAGTTGGAACAAGGGTGTGCAAAGAGGATTGTTTTAAGGGCAGAGGGCACTGCAGAGTGAAAGAGGGGTGCTGAGGCCCATCATGGTGCGTTCATCTCTTCCTGTCCTCGCCTTTCTGTGTCTGTAGTTCCAACAAGAGATCCAACTACGCCAGAACGAAGCATCGCGAGAGTCTCGGAAGAAGGAAAAGCTGGAGAAAGAGCTGAAGCAGATTCAGACGGACATGGACACCAAGCAGTCGGAGATCAGGGCCCTGCAGCAGTACGTGCAGAAGAGCAAGGAGGAGCTGCAGAAACTCGAGCAGCAGCTCAAGGAGCAGAAGGTGCGGCGGCGGCCTTCGCCTTTCCTCTGCTCTCGGCTGCTCCGTTTTCAGCATTTTGAATTTTCTCTGGGCAGTCACAAGCTCTCTTCCCTACCGAGGCCTATACACTGCATTTGGCCTTTGGCTCTTGCGTGCAGCTCTGTCTTCCTGTTTTCTCCTCAGTTCTTTAGGTGAATTGCTTTCTGTTTAATCCTTTTCCCTGCCATGTGTAGCATACACACTGATAAGTACACATCACAATCTAATGTCTCATGAATTTTCACCATTTGAACATGACTTGGTAACTTTGACCTAGCTCAAGAAATAGAACATTACTAGCACCCAGAATCTCCTTATGCCCCACCCGCTGTCACTGGAGGGGGAAAAGCCATCTCTGATTTGAATTCAGAGCACAAACTTAACTTTACTGCCTTTGTACTTTACAAAACAGAAGTCAAATAGGATGCATGGTTGATTTTTTTATTTGTTTTGTGTGTGTGTGTGTGATGTCTCTTGTACAGCACTGTGCTTGTGAAAAGCCTTCTTGTGTGGCCATGTGGTGATAGAACTTAGCTGTCTAATTTAGTAGCCACTAGCTACATGTGGAGCCCTGGTGGCCTAGTAAGTGGTGACTTACTGGTGAACTGGTTACACCGTAATCCCAAAGGCACGTGGTTCGAATCCGCTAGATGCTCCTCAGGAGAAGGATGGGGGGGAGGTTCCTGCCATGTGATTGGCTGCCTCTGAAAAACCACTGGAGGATCAGCTATGGGTAGGATCTGACATTAAGGCAAAACCAACAGCAACAGCAAGCTACGTGGAGCTACACACACACTTAAATGTAAGTTAGTGAAAATGAAATACAGTTTAAAAATTCCGTTCCTCAGTTGTGCTTAGTAGACACATATGTCTAATAGACATGGTGTCAAGACTTCCACCATCGGGAAAGGTCCAACTCCAAAGAGTTCAGTAGGTCATTTATGCTCTATAAATAGCGAACCTCCAAGCTGAGGTACTGACATAGCTGAAATGGAGTGACTCCTATCCTCAAATAAAACTCTATCATGAAATTGAGCTGGAATATTCAGTTCTACTGTTCTAGGTGGTGTAGCACTGGTCTGTGCATTGCTGTGCAGAGGTAACTTGTGGTTGCTGTGATGATGAACACTGGGACACTGATATGCCAAACATGGTAATGGTTACCCATGGTGGACAGTGTTGGCTGTGCTTCCCAACTAAAACAAGCCTGGAAGCAGGAGTGGCATCCACTTCCGAAATGACTTGCCTCTGGAAACTCTATGAACAGTGCTCAGGCCTTTCATTCATAGGATCGCTGTGAATTGTCTACGACACGATGGCACCTAACAACAACAACAACAACAACAACAACAACTGTTCTAGAAAGGCAGTTCAGCTCCTTTGTAAAATGTAATTGTTGGTAATACAGAGAGATCAGGAGTCAGGACTTGGATGAGATATTGTTTGTTGAAGGTGTCTTTTAAAAATGTTCACTCAATTTGGCCTAAAAAAATAGGCCTTGATCTGTTTCCTTCAGGAGTCTAGGGACTAGGTTAGAAATGGCAAGGCTGAGGTGGAATCAGTGCTGTGTCACGACAGTGACCATGAGGAAGCAAGCACCTGCTAACCAAGCCTCAGGTGTGATTTACAGGTGATCACCTGTCCCTGTAACCAAGGCTCACATATGATTTTCTGACCGCCTGGCCCCGCAACCAAGCCTCAGGTATGATTTCCTGACCACCTGGCCCCATGAGACTTCATTTTCTGAAATTCTTATTTCATTCCTGTTGTCTGTTTTTAAATCCTAAAAGCATAATTTGTTACCTTAAAACAAGGGGAAAGACAGGCTGCAACTGTGACAGTACATTGACTTAATTACCATTGATAGAATGTCTTGTTAAATAAACATCAGGATGTAACAGACCTCCAAGTGTAACAAATCTCAGGATGTAACTGATGCTTAGAAGTTTAAGCTGGTGATTTAACAAACTCATAATTTTTGGCCATATTTCCCTTTTCTGATAAAACGCAGTCCTGTTGCTTGTTCACCTGGTAAAAATGACTCTCTCTATCTCTGCAGTTCACACTCGGCAGCCTCAGATCTGGGTGCTTCCCCTATTTCACCAGCCATTTCCTTTTTTGTAGCCTTAGATAAAATTCTGTTTTTCTGTTTTGCAGAGTGTATGCCTGTGTTTCACTTTGGCAGCCTCATTGTTTTATAGTATTTCATTGTATAGATAATGCTTCCTAATTCCAGGTTTATTTTTAAGTTTCAAATTCAAGTTATACTCCGTTTTTATGCATTTTTAATAAAGAAACGTTTTCACTATTAGGTTGTTATATACACACATAGCTGACCTTCCAGTGGGTTTTAAGAAACAGTTGCATAGAAGGAGATTGTCCATTTTTCTTCTGTGGAGGAGCTGATGGATTCAAACCACGTGCTTTTGGATTGACAGTATAGAATTCCCTTCTATTATGTTGTTGCTGTTGTTGTGTGCCATGGAATAGGAACAGACCTGTAGCAGACCAGAGGCAGTGCATTGCACAGGAGATGATTGCCCATCCATCTCCCACGGAGAAGCTGAGGTATTCAAACCAGAAGCCTTCAGCTTGAATGCATTTCAACTTAACACTAAGCCACCAGTCCAGTTCTGGTAGTATAATGTGTAACAAATAGGGCTACCAAACAAAAGGTTAGTGGTTCAAATCCACTTGCAACTCTGAGGCAGAAAGATAGGTAATTTCCTCCTATAAAGATTGACAGACTCAGATAATTGATGAAGAGCTGCTATGAGTCAAAATCAACTTGATAACAGTGGGTTTGAAGACGGTGCTCTGGTGGCCCAGTGGTAAAGTGCTACACTACAATCCTGAAGGTACACAGTTCAAATCCACCATCTGCTGTGTAGGAGAAAGATGGACAATCTCTTCCCATGTGATTTACTGCTTCTGAAAATCTGCTGGAGGGTCAGCTATGGGTCTATTTGACCTGACAGCACACAACAACAACATCTCTTCTTAAAGAAGCAATTCCTATAACTAATGGGGTGGGGGAGGGAAGGGAAGTGTTTTCTTGAAATGTTTGTCTTTTAGGAAGAAAAAAATGATTTCTTGAAACTTTTGCATCTTAGGAATTTTGTTTCCACAGAATTATTAGGTCACACAGTATTTTTCTACAGAAATTATTTGTAATTTGATTTATTAACTTGATACAAACATATAACACAAAGTTCATTCTCTAGGAGAAAAAGATGAAACATCTTTGAGCATGAAATTTGAGAGACTTTTAATAGAATTTTCATGATAATGCTGTATTAAAACTACAGTGTTTTGTTTATAAAAATGTAAGATTCATGTAAGAATGTTTTATGTTTAGGGCGGTTTTTATGTATCATCCAGTTGAGTTGTAAGACTCATAGCTGACTCGTTTTTAGGGTAGCTGGCTACATTCTGATGGCAAACTGGATGAATCCCTTCCATGTTTGGCTTTTGTATACATCGAAGTTAAGTTTCAGAGGAAGTACCTAAATAATACTCTATTTTTTCCTTTAGCTTATTTAACTCCCAACATTCCCCCAGTAAGAATGGCCTCCCCCAAACAGAATCCTCTTCTTATGAAACTGTGTCTGCTAAGGGTCCTCAAAGCAGGGAGGAAAAGAAAGATTGAACGACATTGACCTCCGATGGCTGAAAAGCACTGCAAGCCCTGCGCTGCCCTTCCACCATTTGTACTTGGGTTGGATTAAAGGGGAATTAGTTCTGTGTTGGGGTTAGTAAACGATGCTGTTGGAGACAATGTTGTAGGCATGTTAATGCAGGATTTGCTTCTGAAGATGTAGCTTCTTGTCCCACTGCTGATAAACTCCATTTGAATCTCTAGCTCATTTGCAATGATTATAACAATTATGGTGTATGTGGAGCCTGCCAAATGGTAACCTGGCATTAAAATATTTATCCACCACCTGTGAACAAGACTTCCTGAAGCTCTCAGCGCACACACACACACACACACACACACACACACACACACACCCTCACACGCACTCTATATTCACTGTATTATTCATCAGAAGGTGGCATTTTCCTTAGCTATTAACCATTACTCATTTGTGTGCATTGGTGCTTTCATCAGGCATAGAGAATGACTTCGACAAGAAAAAAACCCCTCTCTGTGGTTGAGGTTAGGTGGGATCGCCTCTGTGTTTATGCATGTATCTTAATCAGATTAAAGAGCCTTAACCGGTTTGTTCCACACCTTCCAGATCCTGAATGAGAGAGCTGCAAAGGAACTGGAGCAGTTTCAGATGAGAAATGCGAAACTTCAGCAAGAGAATGAACAGCACAGCTTGGCCTGTGAGCAGTTATCCCAGGAAAACCAGCAAAAGGCCCTGGAGCTCAAAGTAAACCCCGAGTGACATGTCTAACCCTAACCCTCCCTCAGTCTCTATGAATGTGGCTTTGCCTCTGCGGTTTGAGCCCCTGCTTAAGTATCCCTAGATGGCTTGATGCACCCCAGGCTGGCGCAAGACTACTGTGGTGACTTTATGGCTAGAAGCAGACCAGTTGATAAGTTTCATTCTTACTTGTAAATTACAAACCTGATTATTGATGATGAGCTTATGCAAATGCTTTCCAAAGCGAGCTAAAATGCTCCCTTGGTAATTTAGTCTTGCAAGTAACCAGTAGCCTGGAGCTAGAAACTGTTTACCTGAGTGAATAGCAAAGCATTCAGATTTTGTTTTTCCACTGCTTAATGGATGGTGGCTGATACAACTGGGCCCTTACTTTACTTTAATTCATCCAATATAAATTTCAAGATGGGTTTCCTCTTCTTCCTGCTTCATTGAAGAAGGCTTGCAAATGAAGTTTGGATAAAAAAAATGTTATACTTGGATTCATATTGTGTGTCTGATCCTGAACAGAGGAGCTTTATGTCTATCCTGTTAATGCTGAAAAATTTATGTGCTTTACACTGGTTATCTTATAGTATGGGGCATAGGACAGGTGACCTGTTAAAAAGAAAGTATAGATTTGAGCAGTGAATCTGTTTTGGTTTTCCCCCCTGTTGTTACAGGTGCTTTTGAGGATCCAATAAAAGCACACATACTCAGTTTCTGAGTTTTTCTGAGGCTTAACTGTGGCATCTAGGTTAATAATTAGTGAAGGGCAACATCTTTACAGTTAACTAATTTGGATCCTGTGGGGTGTGAGGAACTTTTAAAGCAGCCCAGAATGATTTGACTTAAGACCCTACCTCCCCACACCCCCCAAGGATGCTGCCACTTGAAATATAGGTGAAGTGAACACTGTTGTTATGTGCCATCCAGTCACTGATGACTCATGGTGTGCATACGCACATTAGCTTTGAACCTTGCCTTATCCTGAGCCAGACTTACTGACTCTGACACACCTAACCCGATTATCCCACTTACTGTGTCAGTCCATCTCATCTGAGATCTTCCTGTCCTGCACTATCCTTCCACACTTCCAAGCATGGTGTCATTCTCCAAGGTAAAATCAATACTCAAGGCAAAATAATGTAGCTTCTAAAGTAAAACTAAAAGTATTTATGTCACACATTTTCTCCTTGGATTATGGGGATGGTGTCCCACTGGGAAATGGGATAGTTCTGTTATGAGATCCCTAAACCTGAGCATTCTACTTCTACCAATAATTTAAGGATAACAGACATAGTGTAGTCTCTTTTTTGTCCAAAGCTGAGTTTATTGCTAACTTTTGCAGAAGACTTTTTGACAACCTTTACAGTTATTTCTATAAATGACAGAGTTTTTTAAGAAAAAAATTCAATTTATATTTAAAAGAATCTAAGCATAAAAAAATCTTATGCTTTCCTAGGATAGAATAATTTTTTAGGGTACATTTTTACCATCATGCAGAATGGTCCTCTAATTACTGCTTTGCCTACCTGTATGCATGCTGTTAAAATATCTTCAACTTCTCTAGTGTTGGCCATTCTTGTGATCACATGACTCACAACAATGATTGTTTTATATTGTTTGATAACTTCCTGCAAAATACTACTTTGTGAGTCCATGGCAGTTGCTAGTCAAATACAGTATTTGTGTACCAAGTTTATATATTTATGGTAGGAATCTTAGAGTTCTTACTGTGTTGCATTCAGCAGTAAGAGTGCACCTAGAGACATCAGATTTCATCCGTTTTTGCCCTTACTTTCAGCTTTTACGACCACATGTTTTAATGAGAGGATGGAATTTTCCAGTCTCATCCTAAATCTTTGTGTGTTTGGACTTAATTTAACAGGACAACTTCACACATGTAGGAAGTTTTCTTTTATTAATTCTGAGTTCTCCATTGTCTAGTCACTTGACCCCTTATTACCAAGCATCCTGGTAATTCTTATCCACTAATTACAGGCCAAAGAAGAAGAAATCCATCAGATGCGCGCTGACATCGGGAAGCTCAACAAAGTAAGAGAGCAGATCCATAAGAAGCTGCACCAGATTGAAGATCAAAAGGGAGAAGCTGAACAGCAAAAGGAAACCCTAAAAAATCAGATTATTGGATTAGAGAGAGGTAGATCAGTGATCATTTAGTGCTTTGCTTTATTCATTTACAAACATTTCTCTGGTGACGCATGCTCTCTGACAACCCAGGGTCCCACTTTTACAAATACAAACCATGCTACAAGAATACAGCACAGTAAGCAACATTAAAATTGGTAAACAGCCAGTATGTTGTTGTTATTGTTGTTACGTGCCATTGACTTGCTTGTGACCCATAACGACCCTATGTACAGCAGCTCTGAACCCTGTCCCGTCCTGAGCCAGTCTCACTGATTCTGACACGCCAACCCCTATTACCCCAGTTACTGTATCAATCCATCTCATCCCAGGGTCTTCCTGTCTGTGCTGTCCCTCCACCCTTCTGAGCATGATGTCCTTCTCCAAGGACCAGTCCCTCTTGGCCACATGCCCAAAGTATGTTAGTTGGAGCTTCAAAATTCTAGCCTCCAAGGAGAAATTTGATTATACCCTTTCCAAGACAGACTTATCTTTTTTTCTTCATAGTCCATTGTTTATTCAAGACTGTTCTCCAGCACCACAACTCTAAGAGGGGACATTATGTTGAATACCTAGCTTTACATCTTTTCTTTTAAGAAAAAAAACACCCCCAAAACCCTCAACACTACTCTTTCTAGCAGATATAATGCTTCAGTGTGATGTAAATCAAACTTAAGGTGTTTTCATAAGTTGTCACTAAAGTAACATTACCTGTACACCTACTCTTCACTTACCGACAACTCAACATGTATTTATGACAGTGTCATAACTACCTGGTGCAATGAAAATTATAATTGCTTTGTGCATTAATGACTTATGTCTGGCAGTAAATAAGTTTCAAGAGTGATGATGCAATGAAATACTCTGTAAAAACAAGAGTTAAATTGAGAAACTATTTCAGTCAAAGGGTTAGTATTCTTATGTGTAAAGAGCCTTCATAAATCTGTCGAAAAGATAAATAAGCTATGAGAAAAATGTGTAAAGGACAAGTGCAGGCAATTTGAAATGACAGAAATAAAAATAAATGGTCATTAAGCAGGAGGAAAAAAGCTTCACTAATAGTCAATGGGTAGAAGGGAAATACTTTAAAAGAAATCCAACTCAAAGAGAATGATAATATCCATTGGGGGTGGGTATAAATTGCCACTAAGTTTATGGAGAAAATCGAGAGTAAGCAAGACATGTCTTAAAATAATATATCCTCTTTGATGCAGAGCTTCCTCTCCTTGGAAAAACCCCTCAAAATTCACTGGTGTTGGGTCAGAACTGACTTAGAGCTAACCGACTGGTGGGTTCTCTTCAGAGGCTGTACATTGCATGGGAAGAGATTGCATGGTTTATTCCTTGGAACATTTGGTGGACTCGAACTGCTTGCCTTTGGGTTGACTGCACAACTCCGTCATCACCAGAGCGGAAACTTTCACCGGAGTATTGCTTATAATTTTACACAGCCTTGGAAGTAACTTAAGTAGTGAAAGTGGAACACTAGATAAAGTAGATATTTCACAGCTAATCAGTGGATTCTAACTTATATTGTCCCTCCACTGAGTTTCCAAGACTGTACATTTTTGTGGGCAGAAACTGCCCATCTTTCTTCCTTGAAAAGCCTGATAGGTTTGAAACACTAGCTTCACAGTTTGAGGCCTGACATGTTTCGCACTGTGCCACCAGGCTGTCAGTTATACCACAGAAAGGCTTTTGTTCTATACCTGTTAGTGAAGAAAAGCGTGCTTCAAAATAACATGTTGTTGTTGTTATGTGCCATCGAGTAGCTTGCAACTCATAGTGACCCTATGTACAACAGCCCTAAACTCTGTCCTGTGCCAGTCGCACTGTCTCTGACATTCCCATCCCGATTATCCCAGTCACTGAATCAATCCACTTCATAGAGGGCCTTCCCCTCTGATGCTTGTGCATTTGCATAAGAAAAAATCTAGAAACTCAAATCAAAATATTAAGTGAATTTAAGCTGGTGTAAACGTTTTCACTTTTGCTCCTCTTACTTATAATTTTATTTTCTAGTTCTGATTCCATAAACAGTCAAAAAAGAATGAAAAAGAGGCTTTTGGAGCTAGAGAAGCCAGGCTGTGGTCACTGTCACTCTTGGCTGTGGACGTTGGGCACGTGGCTTAATCTTGCTGGCCACAGTTTCTATCTGCCTGTTGAGAACTCTTGGGCCTATTTCACTGTTACAGTGGATATTCAAAAAACTCAAACTCCTTGCCGTCAAGTCGAAACTAACTCATAGCTGACCCTTCAATGGGTTTTCAGAGGCTGTAAATCACATGGGAGGAGATTGCCCATCTTTCTCCCAAGAAGAAGCTGGTGGATTTGAGCCGTCAGCTTTTGAATTGGCAGCACAACTCCTTACTGCTAGTCCACTAGAGCTCCTCTATAGGGGAGATTAGGTGACGAGAAATAATATAACTGGTAATAACTGGTAGCCTGATGGTAAGGAGCTGCACTGCCGGCCAAAAGGCACGTGGTTCAAATCCATTAGCTGCTCTGTGGGAGGAAGATGGACAGTCTCCTCCCAGGCGACTCACTGCCTCTGAAAACCTGCTGTAGGGTCAGCTATGAGTCAGTTCCGATTCAATGATAAGTAACAACAACAACAACAACAACAACAACAACAACAACGAGAACAACAGTTAGCTAGCTTGGCTGCTAGCAGAGAGGTTGGCTATTAGTGTCAACTCAAGGGTGCCTTGGAAGAAAGGCCTGGCGATCTATTTCTGAAAAACCAGCTGTGGGGCACAGTTCTACTCTGACACATGTGAGCTACCCACGTGCTGCTCCCGACTTGACAGCAACAAGTTTTATAAGTACAGATAAAAATGTAAAGCCGTTTTCTTTTTTATCCTCCCTGGGCTTGGCAGACTCTTTAGTTTGATCGACTATACTTACGATTCCTCTTTTGTTGATTTAGAGGTGGAGGCATCAAAGAAACAGGCTGAACTTGATAAGAAAGCCATGGATGAGCTTCTGAGAGAAAGGGACATACTAAATAAGGTGAGTTCACTGCAGTAAAACTGGTAAATGAATGGCTTTCTTTAGTGCTATAATATCCGTCTATAACCACTTGTACGGGGAGAGAAAACTCGGAGGCAAACAAAAGCAGATTAGAATAAATAATAGTGCTCAATTTTCCTCTGAACAGCTGCCTCCAGTCTGCCATTCACTGGCAGTGCATCGAAACTGCATTATCATCTGTGAGCACAAAGGGACTTGGGAGAATTAGCATATAAACCAGCAGGGGATTTAAGAGTGTTTTGTGGATGCTGTTTTTATTGCTGGTGTGTTCTTTGGCATCTTAAGCAGTTGATCAGAATTTCTGAATTTAATGTCTATAATCTGCAACTTTTGCTAATCCAGGAAAGATAAGTAAGTGCTCGTGAAGTTTTAACTTTGAGGTGTTAGGTGTAATAATGCGTCTTGGTAATATCAAAAGCCTTTAACATTTCCTCCAGCTTCTCCCCGTTGCTGTCTGTCTTGCATTTTGCTGATGCTCTTGAACCCTCATAACCATTGAGCTCAGTTTGGTCCAAAGCTGCAGGAAAGGGCTGAGGCTGCTGGAAGGTAAAGCTTTAGAGATCCCTCCACTCAAGATAGGAGGTTCCAGCAACTTCCAGAGGGATTTGTTCACTGATAGCCACTTTCAGGATATTAACTGTTTTCAGAGATTTAAGGCCAAGGTCTCTGCTCAAAGATTTTCTCCAAGGATCATGACGAGACAGGCCAGGTGCAGCTGGTGCCCTGGGAAGCTGCTTCTAGAAGAGTTTTCTTGCTTTTGGCACTGACAGCCTCATTTCATCACAATGGAAGCAACCCAAGAGTGTCTTAGAATTGAACAAATGCTAGCAAGGATCAGCTGGCACGCTCCAAAGGGGTTTCACTGCTGCCTCAGAGGCCATGCCGCTCTGGCGAGCCGATTCCAGCCGCAGCTGCATGGGAGAACGAGAAGAAGTCTGCTCCCATGTGATTTATAGCCTGGGAAAGCCAGTGAAGGGTCAGCTACCAGTCAGCTCTGACTCCAAGGCAGTGGCTTCTTTTGTTTTGATTTTTAGCTATGCGTGGACTATTTCGGGGTTCATAGGAAGTGGTAGGAAAAATGGTCCTCTCTATATGCTAATCTCACTGTAAAGAAGTCATTGAATTTTCCCCACCCCCATATCTTAAAAATGGTTTCTTTGTTCTATACATTTGTACATGGAAACGTCATTATTGAGTTTATGCTTTCACATTTATAGTGTATTCATGCAGCAGTTAACCAAAGTGTATTTTCTATATGTTGGTGATTGTAGGACCCACGGCACAGCAGTGATTTGTTGAATTTGATTATGGTCAGTAGGGCAGACACCTATTCCTCTTCCCTGTCACGGTGTTCGATCCCTCACATTTATTAAATAGTACACTCTTCTGACCCTGGTCTGAGACGCCAGCTTCACTGAGTGAGCACCGTGGTTTGACAGGAAGCAAAGGGAATATATTTTTGCTTCTTTTTCTTTCATTGTCATGTTGAAGAGGCTTTGCTTTGTCTTTTACAAATCAAGTGTTTAATGCAATGCTTGGGAATGAAGCTGACCTTTCTTAGTTTCTACATGTCTCCCAGCCAAGGTTTAATTAACTTTTTAACTGTCATGCAGTGTCATGTGGTTCTGTCTGGGTCAGAGATTTGAAAAGAGAATTGAGGGGTCTCGTGTGAGCTGGAGCTGCAGCTGGGTCTCAGGAGTTGACATTCTTGAGATATACAGAATGCTCTCGGCACCACTCAGCTTCCTCCAGAGTTTCTGCCTTAATTGTCTCTCTCTGTGTCAACTCAGAAAAATGTCTGCTGCCAAAAGGTCCCACATTGACTTCTTTTATTGAACTGAAAACAATGGGAAGGCCCCATTTCAGGTCTCCCTGGGAAGGGTCATTTGGTCCATCCAGCTCTGACTAGAGAGCTGGTCTTTTTCGCATGGACATGACTGGCAGTGTGATATCACTGGTTCTCTATGTTTCCAGGGAGCTTGGGTAGCCAAGATCCCAATAGATGCCACGGTACATCCATTCCTGCAAGAGAAATCACCAATGCAGCTCTCATATATGCAGGTGCCTCCTTCCAGCTCAGACCTGCTGGATCCAGCCTCTCTCTGCATTTGGGACTTGGGTACCTGCATTTTTAATACACTCAAGTTCTTTCATTTCCTGGTAAGAGAGACGAGAGCCCTGGTGACACTGTCTGTAGAGTTAATTGGTTAATTAATAGGTGCTTACCCCTGGGCTGTGCCGCTCTGATGGTTTGAATCCCCCAACAGTGCCATGGGAGAAAGAAGGGCCATCTCCCACACACGGTAGAGCTTGGACACCAGATGGAGGGTTGGCTGTGAGTTGGGCTGACTCAGTGGTGGACAGTGAATGAGTGAGTGAATAAGAGACCAAGAACCATAGTTGGTTTCAGTTGTTCTAACCCCCCCCCCCCCCATATAATTAGAGTATGAGAACATTGGTTTTGGTAGCACCTAGCCTCAGGTTCAGATCTTGACTCGGCCATTTTTGAGCATGCGACCTTGTAGTTGTTTACTGTCAAGTTATAACTGACGCATGGCTGATCTTCCAGTGAGTTTTCAGAGGCAGTTAATCACATGGGAGGAGATTGGTGCATCTTTCTTCCATGGGGCAGCTGATGAGTTGGAATCGCATACCTTTGGGTTGCCAGCACAACTCTTTACCACTAGGCCACCAGAGCTCCCTGTGACCTTAGGCGTGTTAATGAAGTAGTTTAGCCTCTTGCGGTCTCAGTTTCCCTCTAAAACGGGACCAGTATACAGCCTGGTTCTTAGGGAGACTGAGATCAGTAGCACACTTAAATATGCATCTAAAGTACCTTGTGGAAAATAAACGTAAGCAGCTCTTACTAAACTGTAGAGAAAATAATTATTTTTATTTATCTAAGAGTCAATGCATTGAATTATTTCAGAGCTGTGGCAGAAGCAAAAAAAAAAATATTCCTAAACATTTTGCATCATGTGGGCACTTTGTTGTCTGTATTTTTAGAATATGCTCAAGGCGGTCAGCGCGACCCAGAAGCAGATAGACCTGGTGAAGCTCCACGAACAAGCCAAGAGAAACCTGGAGGAGGAAATTCAGAATTACAAGGAAGAGGCTCAGAAGCAGAGAAAGATCATCTTCCAGCTGGAAAAGGAACGAGATCGCTACATCAATGAAGCCAGTGAGCTCACCCAGAAGGTAAGCTGCTCCACTGTCACAGGCTGTTGCAGGGACGGGGTGCCGGGGTGTGGTTTGTGTAGGTTCAAGGAGAGTGATGTTGGCAGAGGAAAGGCGTCTTGTCGCCAGCTGTGGACCAGACTGGGAAAGCGCCAAAGCTTGCTGTTATTGCTTTCTCATCTCCTGTTTCTGGACCCCCGTCTCTCTCAGTTGCTGGTGCTCAGGTGTGCTCCTTCTCTCAAGTGCACTGCGTTTGGGTCCTTTCTGAGCCGGGCACACCAGGGCCATGAACGTTACCATCTCTCAACTCCTCCTCACTCCCACCTGTCAGTGAGACTCCTGGCTCTGTGGCACAGGGATCCCCAGTGGTTGTTAGGAGAAAATACTCAATGAAATGACCTCATATTAAATTGTGAATGACTCTTGGCATCATTTAAATGTGTCTCAGAGTCAAAGAACATCTTAAATAATCTAATCTGTTTAAAAGGGATATATGATTGGATATTGTTGTTGTGACAGGAGTTCAGAACGAGGGTAGCATGGTGGAGTGGACTTGGGAGGAGGGATTGAATAACAATGAAAGTATTAGTTTTTTTACTTTTCAAAAAGAAAAGTGAATTGGAGGGCGGAGTGGGCAGGGAGAAAAGTTCAACAATGAATGAATGGAAATCCCAAGTCTCTGTAAACTTTCATTAGAACCAATTTAAAATTAAAAAAAAAAAAACAAACCAAACCAACAAACCCAGTCTTGAAGCCAAGGTGGCATAAATGGTTTATGCTTGACTACAAACCTAAAGGTTGGTGGCTAGAGGCCGTCTGGGAGGACGACGGGGGGAGCCTGGTGATGCAGTTTTGCAAATATTCTTTAGCCAAGAAACCCATGGAGTAGCTCTGCTGAGTTGGAATAGGCACCAGAGTTTTGGTCTTAAGGTCTTTAACCTAAACCCCACATACTTCCTCTCACACACCTGGGCCATGTATATGGTTCCAGGAAGGGTTAGTCCCTGGAGAAAGACGTCATGCTTGGAAAAAGAAGAGGATCAGTGACAGAGGAAGACCTTCAATGAGATGAATTTACAGAGTGGTGACAACCCTGGAGGTAACACAGCAGAGACTGCGAGGAGGCACGAGGCCGTGCAGTGAGGCCTTCTGTTGTTCCTAGTGTTGAGTTGGTGCTCACTCAGTGGCACCTGGGGATAATATGACAGACCCCACCGGAAGTAGAAGTCCATAAGCTGGGTGCTGGGTCCCAGATCTCCTCTACTTGTGAATCACTGAAGAGGGCGAAGGCTTTCAGGGATTTGTTTATCTTTTTTTTAAAAACGCTGATTTTTTAAAAAAAGTATACTTTATTTTATTGTGATTTTAGCAAAAGTTTATAGAAAAGTTGGATTTTCATACATTCATTGTTGTACATTTCCTTCCCTCTCTTCCCTTCCCTCCCTCAGTTTCACTTTCTTTTCCTTTTTTAAAAAAAATATTCATTCATTATTGCACAATTTCCTCCCTCCTGCCCCCCATCCACTTTGCATGCACCCCTTATTCTGGGGATTGTTTTAATACATATAGTGCGTAGCATGCATTTCTTTTAAACAGTTCTTCCCCTCATCTGTTCCAGTGTAGTGTTCATTATCTATCCATTCTTTCCCCTTTCTCCCCCCAATCTCCCATGTCAGTCCTCCTATAATAGTAGTGTTGTGCAGTATTTGTCCTTTTGTGGCTGAGATATTTCACTCAGCATACTGTCTTCCAGGATCACCTATGTTGTATAATGTTTTATGAATTCATTACTTTTCAATGTTGCATAATATTCCATTGTGTGAATATATCATAGTTTTTATATTCATTTGTTTGTTGATGGGCACTTGGGTTGCTTCCATCTCTGTGATTTTAATGAAAGTTTACATAAAGGTTGGTTTTCATACATTTATTGTTCTTTTCCTCCCTCTCCTTCTCTTCTCCTTCCCCCATCCCCATCTACTTTGCAATGCACCTCTTATTCCAGATTGTTGTCATACGTACGATGCCTAATCACACATTGCTTTCGGACAGTCCTTCCCCTCATCTGTTCCAGTGCAGTGTTCATTATCTATCCTCTTTGTCTTAGCACATATTTTTAGTGGGTTCAAAGGAACTTTGGTGGCACTGTGGGGAAAACATTTGACTGCTAACCAAAAGATCAACAATTCAAACCCAATAACAACTGCGTGAGAGAAGATGAGACAATCTTCTGTGAAGATTTTCATCCTTGAAAACCAACCACATAGGGTGTCTAAGAATCAGCTCAGCAAGCCTTTTAATTTAGTGTGTTCACAGACTGGGTGGTGCAGCAGTTCTGCGATGGAGCAAAGTTTTAGTTATAAGAGTGAGAGGAGTTTGGGAGGGGAAAAAAAGCTTTGTTTAGTGACTTTTTTTTCCTAGTGAAATGTTGTCTACTGTGCAATGTAAGCTCTTTCTCCCATCTTTTCACTGAAATCAGCAGCAAATTTAACAGCACTCCCAGTGCTCTTGACATGCTTGAGTTTCGTATTGTTTTTTTGGAGTGGAATCTCAAAGAACATGACAGAGAGGGAAGCCAATACTTTAGTTATAAACAGAAATAAAGTGGGAAACAAGCGTTATTCACAGGAAACCAGTTTCTTCCCACCTAGACTAAATAAATGCTGAACAGATGTTTACAGGATGTGGAATTGAACACAGCTGCTCAGGCCAGTCCTGGCCAGACATGTCTTCCTTGTAAAGACTGAGGGAATCTCATACCCCCAATGGAGAGCCAGCAGAGAGGTGGAGTTCTTTTCTAACTCACTGATTTGTTACTGACTGAGGGATGATTAGAGGTCAGTTCAGGCCTCGTGTTCTCATGCTGAGACTAGCACATTAGCCTCCGTACCAAGTAACTTAATCTGTGCAAATAATTTTCAAATCTCAGTGGTTTACAGTAATGAAGATTACTTTTTGTTCACATCGTCTCTGAGGGTCAGCTTGCCTTCTTTCATGTACCCTCCTCTTCTGGGTGACTCAGTCTGAGACATGGTGGCCATTGGAGAGAGGACCAAGAGTGAAATACAGGGGAAGACGATGATGAAATGAGAGCTTCTGCTGTCACAGTGAGGGACAGGGCACTTCCACTCATACTGCCCTGGCCAAGACCAGGCACAGCCAACCTTGTGGAGTGGAATAGCAATATATTTAATCGTATAAGCCTTCTATATTTTTACTTTGGGCATGTGGCCCAGAGAGACTCATCCTTGGAGAAGGATATCATGCTCGGCAGGCTGGAGGGACAGCGCAGAAGAGGAAGACCCTGGCTGAGATGGATTGACATAGTAATTGCAGCAATGGGGGTAGGTGTGTCGAAATCAGTGAGACTGACTCAAGACAGGGTAGGCTTCAGAGCTGTTGTATTAGGTCACTATTAGTCACAGGTGACTTGATGGCACATAACAACAACAACAAAAATGCCATCTATTAGTTTCATCTTCTCCTTCCTGATAATCAGCCGCTGTCCATTCCGGGATGACATCATGCCACCATGGGAGCTAACTCTTAATACGTGAGTCTTATTATTACTCTTGGGTTTACCAATCCCTGTTAACTCTCAGTTCCTTGGGGTAGGTATGGTTTCCTACCATTTTTCACATCATAGCATGTACAGAAAATACCATGATGTAGCACATGGAAACTGAGAAAATGCTTTTCAGGATAGAGAGGGAGTTGACCCAGATGTGTCAGCTGCTCCGTGCTCACCTGGCCGCCCTGTAACAGGATCACAGCTTTAGGACTCACCCGTGACTCTTCTAGGGCACAGCTCTTGGGATACTCTGAACTATGTAATAAAATCTTTGAGTATTCTTCCTGGAAAGTTTCCTCTCTCCTTCTCTGTAGGACAACCTTCTATTCCTTAAGACCCGGTTCAAATGCCTGTGTCCTTGGCCAAGCCAACTCAGACCATCCCAGGTGAAGTGAGTCAGTGCCTATACTGTACTCCACAAAGATTAGTTGATGAGTCACTAGAATGGCAGTGCTGTCTCTAGGACAGTTATTTGCACATTTGTTTGCCCCATTTACAATGAGCTCTTAGAAACAAGGGGCTTTATGTAATGCCTCCCCCCCATATTCGGGATCCTGCCAAGTAATAAGGAGCCATGGTGTCCTAGTGTGTTACAAGGGGTGCTGCTAATCAGAAGACCAGTGGTTCAGCTGCGCTGTGGGAGAAAGAGGAAAGAGGAGGCGTTCTGCTCCTGGTCAGATTGACAGTCATGGGAACCCAATGGAAGGTTGCCATTAGTCAAAATGACTTGATGGTAATGGATATTTTTTTCTTATATTTATAGTATTGTTAGATGCACTGAGTCAGCAAACTCCTAGTGATCCCACATTCAACACCCAATCTTGTGGCACCTTCAAAGCCTTCTTTCTCTGTGCTAACCTCACTATTATCACCACTATTGCCAACTCATCTCGTTGAAGGTCTTTCTTTGAACCTCCAACTTTTCAAGCATGCTGTCCTTTCCCAAAAACTGGCACCTCCTATAACAGGGACTGCAAATGTCTGTAAACAAATGGATATATGATAAGTCTTTTTTTAAATTAAATTTTATTAATTTTAATGAACATTTACAGAGATTTGGGGTTTCCATTCATTCATTGTTGCACTATTTTCTCTATCCTCCCCCCAGTTTGTTCCTCTTTTTTTTTCGCCCCTTGAAAGTCTGTTTTAATTTTCCCATTGCCACAGTGCTTGTCAAAGCCAGTTCTGATTAATCTCCTTTGTCATTGTGTCCATTGCCATTCTCTGTCACTCCTCCCTGAGAGAGACTTCACCCTGATTCATAAGGAAAAGGGGACGGTCTATTTTCTTAGCTACTTCCTGCTGAAAAGGGACGCTGTAGGCTTCAGGGTGAAGATCTTTTCTCACTACTCTAAAGGGCCCCTTTGGCAATAGGAAACATGTAGACTATTGTGGAGATTGATTTTGGAATTTAGATGTACTGATATCAATTGTGCTTAGCCATACATGT